GTCAATAGTTCTTGTTCATTGAACCATGATTTACTCAATCTGCGACCTACACTTCTACGGCACACTTACCAGCATAGGTAAAATACGACGAGGTCTTGTCCAACGAACACATATTGACTTTGAAACGTATCTGAATCTGGCTCAGATGCACTACGGTCACTCGAATGTCGGTAAGATGTGGTTATGTAGCCCCACCTGACGGACACAATACTGTTAGAGATGGGGTTAGGGGTTAGAGTAAGGAGTTATGGTTAGGAGTTTTGGTTAAGGGTCAGGATTAGGGGTTAGGGTTAGAGGTTCGGGCTAGGGTTAGGGTTAGAGCAACTGCTTTTCAACCACTCAAAATGCAGCCGCGCATTCCCAATAGCCTTTCTTTTGCATAGAATTACTTGACCTCGTCGTCTGTGCGTTTCCCGATCCCGCCTGTAAAAACACCCACTATATCCCGTTCCGTATTTCAGGTGGTTGGGGTTTGTTTACTTCAGATGGGGCTAAATAACCACATCTGATCCAAATGTCCATTGTAGAATAACGGAGGGCACTTTCGAGGTACCTCAGTATGTGGCCCGACGTGAGTGGTGAAAACAAAGTTGGCCTCAACTCGCACGCCATTATTACACATCCGTGTTTCTCCATCCAAAACCTATTTACTGTTCTGGCTAATAAAATGGAATGAGAAGGCCACGTTTTCCATCGTGAATTCAGACTGCAGTCACTGTACTCGCGGGGTCCTCTGTAACAGGGCATCCCTGTCAGGCGCAGATGTGCACGTACGTATTAGAGGCAATGGTTTGTCTGACACTGAGACGCGGCATGATGCTGCCATACCGACAGGCCCAGTCACCTTCAAGGCCTCCAATAAGCTCACCCAGACGTATGTCACAGAGAGCTGCAGGCCCTCTCCTTCTGGCCAGTTGCAAACATGCTCCTCTAACTAAATCTACATCTGTTTTGTATAAATGACAAAATCGCTTTTCTGGAATCTAGCCTACAAAGGGCTACGCAGATAAGGTTGTAGTAAATAATCACGTAGCCCGCAGCGTACAGCTGATCCATGCTCAGTAATATATTGAAATCTGAGTAGGAATTTACATGAACCCTGGTGCTCGTCCTCTACGGTCATTAGTTAAGAAGTACGAATGCTTTAAATTATCGTATTTAAAAGTAAGTATTCTTTGGGGTACCGTATGTTACACGGTTTGCTGAAGAGTTAGGCACAGTTTGCAAGCAGCAGCCTATGATCTAACGCGGCGTTGATGAATTTAAAAGCCGTCATTCGGAAAAGTACATTTAAATTCGACATCTCTGGGAAAGTGAAAGACCAAGGAAAAGGTGCGCAGAAAAATACGAGTACAGATTTCATGTTGGGCCGAGGTTATGAGTGCGATGAACCTGGCTCACCATATGCCTTCTCCTCATAAAATGGATCACTCAACCTTCGCGCAGGAAGTCACTCACGTCATGCCCAAGGTGGGCCAGACCCAAAACAGCCTTCAGCTGTTGCAATTGCACTAGTATTTTTGTCGGGGTTCTTAGATGCTTTTATTTCGGCAATTCCAACCCCAACATATCTCATCGGAAAGGCACAGCAAGAGGGTGAACCGGGGCCGCTCTCTGTTATTAACCCTGAAGCCGGTCTCAAATCTCATGTTTAGTACTGTGATGTGACGGACGCTATCTCATCAACGTTGACACACAGAAGAGTTCTATCTCTCCAAAGCATTCTTATGGTTAATGATCCACCCCTAAGGGGGTACATTGTTCCCATAAATGTTGTTGCTTCTAAAATCCCCAAACTGATCAAACTTAGCTGCCCTTATTTGCCTTTAATATCAAGTGTTCCCGAACTCTGAAATTATACTGACTCCCGAACAAGAATATTATCCTGTCGCGAAAAATGCCTTTAATATCAGCTTGAAGTACAAGTACTCGGAAGTGGATTTCGAATTCCATACACGACTCGAGGATGCCTGGGGCAACATTGTGACACATTTTACCAGCAAAGCGGCAAACACAGAAGATGCCTTCTGTAGAAGAAACATTACCATCATTTGCACTATCACAGAGCTCAATAGGATTGTGAAAAGAGTGGTACAACTGAAACCTATGAGAACCTTTAACTGTTCTGAAAAAGATGTCATTCTGAAATCAGCGGATGAGGGAAAGAATCTGCGCCTGTGCCGGCCAGTGGAGGCGGCTGACCAGATCAATCTAAAGGATGACAAGAGTTACGCACACCTCCTGCGTGATAGCCATTGTGAGATAACTGGTCAGGTCAAGCAGACGTCTAGAGCAGTTGGGGACTTCTCAAAGAACATACCAGGTGTAAAAGAATACAAAGTCAAGTGCCAACTTTTCGACTACAGCTGGGCGTTCCGTGTCCTCAAAAATCCAAAACGTGAGTCATTGCCAGACCCAGTTTGTCTCGAGTTGTTTACAGTGGCTAGATTTATGATTGGCTTTTGATCATAAGTTCCTTTAGTGAACCACCTCTAAATATATTATCTAACGTCAGTCTGCAGTAAGTCAGAAAAAGTGGCCGTGGAAATGAGATGTGCAATGACTGCATAACGCCAATTTCGGAAATGAGTCTAAATCTGCGAATGCAGATAACACACTTGAATATTTTCGGATTTTTATTTTCAGTTTCACTTATTGTTCCGCTAAGTTAAGGCACGCTTGACTGTGCAAATCACATCTGTGCTCATATCATATTTTTGGGATCAGAAATGCGTTTCTGAAAGTAATTCCTACACCAGCTGCATGTTTAAATGATTGAGTAGGATTCGAGCAGGGCTTTTGCCAGCAATGTTGAGGAGAGAGATGTCACTGTGGCTGCCACAGTGGTGTCGGTTTCCATTGAGTTTGTATAAGTGGACGATGGTTGCCCCCTTGATGTCCGTGGGGATTCGCCCTTACTCTCTCAGTATCGAGGCATTCTTGTCAGTGAATAAGGGGCCGCAGTGTTCGCAAATGTCAGCTGCACCTGAGTTGACGATCAGAGTTTTACCTCTAGACATCTTTCGTGCAGTTTTTATAGCCTCTTGTAGGGAGTCCCGACGGTCGAGGTCAGTGTAGGTGTCCGCTTGAATACATCTATTGACGGCTCCTCCGCATAGTGTTTACGGCTGCCTTGCTCAGCGCCTAATAATTTACAACCTATCGGACGATGGAGTTCCTAAATCTCGACTGAGCAGCTGCGCAGCCCGCTTGGCTCGAGAACCATATATTGTCTTGATGGATAAAAAGAAGCTGTCAGGCTCTCCGCGAGGGTGTATCCTTTTGGCTTCTTCAGACTCGTGAATTGGCCTACCATTCTGCATCTCCCAAAGTCCTTGTTACACCGCGTTTCGAAATTGGAAGCATGCTACCCTGACACTGATTGTGTCGTTGGAGTGGATGGTTTGCAGGGTATTCTCTCCGGAGTGCAGGTTGTGAATGTTCTCTCTGTTTGTCTTATGTCGTGTGCGACTGAGGACTTCCAGTGCAGCGCAGTGTGAAACATCATACAATGTCCTCCAATGGGTATCAACAACTGCCTTTGTTTACAAACCGCTCTTCATTCCTATTCAATAATACTCCATATATCCTACATCAGATGTTCGCTCACGTTCGAGGCAACTGCAAGATTGCAGTTGCAGCCTAGTCTTGTGGGTCTGTCCAGCCATCCGCATGACGCATCGCCTTAGATTCATACCTTGTCCCAGCCTGACTGCCTGCATAAATCTCAAGCAGGACTCGCTCTCTTGAGTCTTGCGTCTTTTCCCAGTTTGTCGATGACCGATGCATGAAAGTGCACCGCAGACGCACTAACATCAAAGGAAAGACCAATGGGTAACAATCCGAGTGTTGCAAACGGCAACGTCCGCTGTGTGCTCTACAGCATGGCGGGCTCATGGGCAGTGGTTTGCGCATGCAAACGTTCATAATAATGATGGACATGCGCAGCATCTACCACACTCCTTCCTTCTCCCCCTCCTCCTCCTCCTCCTCCTCCTCCTCCAACCACCTGGCCCCCGAGGCAAGACAGAGTCTGTGACTTGCGAACCAGTGCCAGGAGCCCCGACATGTACTCGCCGCGTCCGGTTTCACTGTCTGCACTTCCGACGCACATTCACTCGCTGCATGGGCCTACTCAACTGTGTACGCATCCACGACAGTGGCATTTACCGCAATATCGCCACGCCAAGCATACCTACGCATCAAACAACTTTCCAGTCTCCAATACTACTAAATCGCCATCTATCAGTCCGTTCACCACTAGCAGCATCACCACCGCAACCGATTCAGCAGGCTCCCCAACCTACCCTGTCCACATTGTCATCGCACATGCACATCACGTATCGGTCTGGTCGGTCATTGGCGAATACATGACTCAGAGACTGAGAACCGGTGCCAGGAGCACCAACAGACACCCATCACCATCACCTCAACTGCCCCCACACACATCCAAACACCATATGGACCTAGTTGGCCACATGAACATTCATGAAAGTCTGCGGTAAAGCACATGTGGACAAACCTCATAAACAACTATCGCCTCACTAGCACACGCACGACACTAACCTGTCCATCATTACCCACCACAAACACGAAATCGGTACGTCGCATGTAAATGAGCAGTTTGTTCCTCGGATCCTTCTCAATGTGTCTCCTCTGCTGCATATGAGATCCGAGTAGTCCAGCCCCTTTCAGTGAAATCCCGATGTGCCACGCCGGGGGACGGGGGAGTACAGGTCGTGCGCGCGTGTGTGTGTGTGACATGCACAGACCGACTGCCTAGCTATGAAGGCCTCCGGATTTGTAATAAAATGAGTGTTCGGACGGATACAGGCCTGTCCAAACGCTTGTCCGACTTAGGTACATCAAATAACCTTCCTGCGTATTCACTTTCCTAAACGGATACTCTCTCGTTCAGCTATAAAGATGTTACCTCTGTATGCGTACCGAACACGAGAGGCAGCACAAGCGCAGACGCCTAGCAGACACTGCAGGGTCCATGGCATGAGGGAAATGCCTGAGGTCTGGCCCCTCAGTACACAGAAGGCCTGGACACGCGACCGTGACCCTGACTGTCAGCTTGTCGCACACATGTGGCCTGATGTTTGGACACTGCAGGCAGCATTCAGTCACTGTGTCACCAGATTAGTTTTTGATCATGAAAGCACTGCGGTACACTTACTTTGCCGTCCTATTTTATTATCTCCTTGTCGATGGCATTCAGGCACCAATGCTGCTTTCCTCTCCTTTATCATTGCCTTTGTATTCCCCAAAAGCAAAACGAAAGCGGTGCAGCCCACAGGCCCGCCGAGCTCGAAATTTACCACTCATCGGGTTACCGCTCATCCTCGGCACCACATTGGTCGGTGGCTTCCTCTTCTTCATGGTCATCATAGTCGTAAGACATGAGCGCTGGAGAAGACGGACGCGGAGATCACTTATACCAGAGGCAAGTGTGGACTGTTTCATTATCACGATGCCTTCCGTGGCGCCAAATAGTGTAAATTCGTTTCTTATTCTATCTGTGTTCCCCACTCCCATCCCCTCCTCGACCTACAGGACGAACTCAGAGAGGCTGTCAACAGGGCCGGTAATAACAGCCTTGACGACGACCCACACATTCTTCTGGCCTATACGGCATTTCTCGAGAACTACTCCGAAGAGAGACATGAGCGTTTGAAACGGATTGTGTCTGCATACCTGCAGGTTTGTCCTCATTTGAATGGGAATAAACAAAGTTACAACCAGATACTCGACACTACTCTAAAGAATATGCTGTTAGAGAGAGGGAGAGAACCATCCTTTGGCATCCACAGAAACAGACTTTACCTTTCACATTCCCAGCGTAGTTATCGCTATCTCGCTTGATATACGAATTGCCACTTCGCGAATGGGCCTTCAGCTCCGCTCATTGTGACCCGCGAGATCCGCAGGACGCCAAAGTTAATTGATTTCCAGAATACGCCCACTAGTACTCAACATACTAGCATGAATTACACAGTCTGCAGACTGCCGAGCGTTCTGTTGATGTGACGACAAGTAGGAAAACCAGACATGACATCTCCCGCCTCTTCTGCCTTCCTTCAAGTACTAGCCGCTCATCATTGTTCATCATCTGCAAAGTGATCGGATTCGGTCACCGGAGAATGGATAGTGTTATGTTTAGGAGGTTAAGGGAAGCCTTATTTTGGACGGTACAAGTGTCACCTTAACATTTACAAGAAGCCGGCTCGGAAGTCTAGGATTGTAGTATATTTCACTTCTTCTATATTATCACTGGGAACTCTATCCTATGATAGTGAAAAGTGCATTTCCTTCGTTTACTATTTCCAACCTTTCTCACTTTTCGGACTTTAGGCCGACAAATGGCTTTCCGATGTGGAAATGAACCAAGAGCAGAGAAGAAAACGATGGCTGAACAACGTTAGAACCTCGACTGTCAGAAGTTACCCAATGGAGATTTAATGCTCGTGCCAAGTGTGAGATTAAGTTTTAAAATACGCTCATATTCCCTAATACGCGTTTGGAATGGCCTCGGCGGATTACCTGATTTGGAAACACTTTGATTTAGATCCCACAGGACGTGGTTGTTTTTGATTTATTCAAGTCTGCTGACTTCATGGCCAAGATTCATCGGTTCTCAAAATCGTGCTCAGTAGGATTTCAGGAGTTTGCAAGTTCGCAACGGAGAACCGGTGGCAATTCGATTGGCCGACACAGCCATCTCATTGCCCCTTTTTTCATCCTCGTTCAGCCAAACCTAACCCTAACCACCATCTGCGACGAAAAATACAAACACCCCCCCCTAACCGTGCAGACGGCCCACAAACTCGTTTCATATCTGATGGGTCCTGTACACTTAGTCGGATCAAACTCTAGCAGTGTCTCGTTCTCTGCTGGAGGTTGGGGGATTGATTATGCAGGAACGGGAGCACACCGACCAACTCCAATCCGGGACATAGAAGCGGAGGAAGAGGAGAGCCAGCAGTCGCAGCACTTGGTTGTCGTGATCTACTGTAATGAGACAGTTAAGGCAGTGCATCCGATAGGGCAATTAACACACACAAAATTCCCATTTTCCACAACAATTAGGCAAGTATTAGGAGTTGTCTGGGGCTGTGCAGGCAGCAGCTGGTTTCACATCTGGGTTCCGGGGGAGAAATAAACTAGGCCTGTAATCAGGGCAAAAAAGGGTGCCTGCTCTTTCCCCATGAACTAACTAAAAATACAACAGTTGTAAGAAGACGATTGAATGTTCAGTGTAATCGTGCCATTGCACTTTCATCCGCAGTGTCAAAGGGGAGGATGAGAAAGTCTTTTCCCTACATCCCGTTTTGGAAGTTGGATTGTAGACACTTAACCGACACCCTCATTTTCTTTGTGCTTTAGGAAAAGAGAGCAAATTTCAGTTATCGAGGAGAGCGTCCCCGTAGAGGAAATGGAAATATGAAGACTGATATTCTGTTCGGCTAAGGAGTCTTCTAAATGTCACAGTCAATGTGTGATCGAGTGACGAGTAAAATAAACTTTTCGTCCAAGTACATAAGTCTCTTTGAGCCTAGTACCATTTTCTGGGCAGACACTCGACTAATCTTTTTGTTTTCTAATCCTTATCGGGGAGCCGCGAGTACTGGGCCTGCCAAATAGTGGTAGACATTGGAACGTCATTATGAGAAGGTACAAATCCGGCGCGAGATTTTATTCGTCAAATGACGGGGTTCGGCAGTCCGTCTCTCAATGTAGACGTCCATATCACGCTCCCGGCGTATATATTAGTCGTCCGTTAGCAGGTGGAATCAGTAGTGGACTCCATTAGGAAGTGGGGTTTAGATTTAACAAGTACACATTCTCTAGTGACTGGAATTGGTTTTCGAGCATTCAAAGACCTATTAGTAGGCGATCGCGTGGTTGAGAAGCAGGGGTTCTTTTGACGGCGGATCAGATCACATTGGCAGCATAGGAACGCAGTTTCGTCAGCTCATGCTCGCCGTTTTCAATGCGGTGGATTCGCAAGCGACCATCAGGTCCAATTTGCTGCGTGAGGGTGCGATCTCAATTGGTACAAGTTGAGATTGATCCCACACCTCCGTCAGCAGCGACGATGGTGGTCGTCGGCGAGGCATCAGATGTGTGCTCGACCGTGGTAGGGATTGTAGTGCCCTTCCAGCACTGAGGTAATGACAGAGGGCCTTATTACCATTCTGTGTTATGGAGCAAACCTACGAAGAGACTATAATGGATGTTTCCCTTAGGGTGACAATGCACTGATGATGGAAGGTACGATCTTCGGGAGTTTGAGGGCCCGGTAAGCACGGATGAGCGTTCGGGTAGTCACAGCCACCCATTCACCTGTTGAACATACCACTTGAAATTGTCGCCACAGGTGACAGTTCGAACGTCAATTCCGATTATGTTCACCGTGTGATGCGTGCAGCGGTCACGGTGACTTGCGCGTGAATTAGGTTATAGTGATAGTAGACTTTCGCAGCGTCTACCTCACTCTCTCATCCCCACTTCCTACCTGGACCCCATGTTAGTACAGAGTCAAGAAAAATGGGGCGGAGAAGGGCACAGGTGGCTGGCACGGCCGGACCCGTACCCAGGCGAGCCATCACACCCCCTGATCCACAACATATATTACTAGTATAACACCCCAACAGGGGTCAGAAGTACGAGGATGATGACTGGGCAGCCACGCCCAACACGTGTATACCTAGCGGGAGTGCAAGTGGATCTACCGACAGGGAACCAGCTGTCAGGGAACTGTCAGCGCCATCCGCCTCACCTGGTCACACTGACCAAGGACGTTCAGTCACCGCGTGAATCTGCTCTGCCCTATGCGATTCCATGAAAATCACCAGTAGAATGCTGCAGCCCAAACTCCCTCACCACACTTCGCACACCAGTCCACGCATCTCCGGATTAAATAAGGACCCGTTCCACATCACCCACCAATTGCGTAGAATATGAACCTCCCACTCAGGTGGAGGCATGTTTTTCGTAGCACTGTGATGCATGACCTGGTAACCAGGCCGTGTGTTGCACGTGTAGATGGGCCATTCAGCTCTGACAGTCACCACACTCGATCCCTCCCCGTGCTTTTAACGTTGCCCTGCCATCAGAGCCAGGTGGGTGTGAGAGGTGAGTGCGGTGGATGATGCACGAACCTGCCTCACTACAATTCAGTTGAAAATCACAGTCCTGTGCACAGCACTCCTTCGGGCATGCAGTGAACATCGTCGATTGCGACAGTAAAAATGTCCATCGGCCCAGTCTGGCTGTGAGTTCGGCAGGACTTTTGCTGGCGTGATCTATTTAACGCGTGTCGATGAGTTGACACCTTGGCTTGGGACAAAAGCGCTTCAGGCGCAGTGCCCTCCAGTAAGAACCATGCCAGATGAATGTGTGCATGCAGTGGCCTCACCGTCACCGGAACACAAAGTTAATGTATTATTGCCATTTAGAAATCATGAAACATGTTCGGCGTGGATACAATGGCATGTTTAATGCATGGGAAGGAGCGATGAATGGTAGTTTTGGTGGTACTCAGAGGAGGAACGTGTCGTAAGAAATACAGACGTATTCCGACTATAATAATTTTGAATGGCTGTTCGGCGTAGCTTGATTTGGATCTTGACCATGATCTATTAAGCCTATTAATATGATGGGGCGGGGTAGACACTGGAGGTGGATGTAACGTTTTTAGGTTGGTGTCCCAGGTACTGGTTCGCCAGTCTCTGCACGATGTATTCACAAGTGACCGACCATGCTAATGTGTGAGGTGAAAATGCGGTCACAATGAGGACATGTGTGGATCGAGTTCGCATTGCCGGCTTTGGCGGTGGGTAGGTTGATGTTTGTTGGTGAGTCAGGATTCTGTGCAGTGGTGGTGGGTACAACAGCCGCCGTAGCGAATGTTTTGGGAAGGGAGGAGGACGGTGGTAGCTGCGGGTGAGAGAGTGCGGTCAATGTTGATTGTCGGAGTTGGGGGCGAGGTAGGGGTGGGCGGAGGATATCGGCTGGTGTCGTTCAGGCGCCGCAGTTGGTACGAAGATAACGAACAAGTCCGATTGGTGCTCGGAACGTCCGCTAACATCGTGGGCATGTTGGAGGCGGTCGATCATTGGCATTGAGAGGTAAGTGCAGTTGAGATTTGCGAGCCTCGCGTCTGGCTTTAGCTGCAGTAATGCGGGTGGCTTCGTAGATTGCCGCACCGGTCTTCACTGCTGTCCGCCAGGTTGGTCGGTCCCGGGCGAGATCTTCTGAATTGACCGGGTTGATCTGCAGGCGTCTTAGGGAGGTCTTTTGAATATTCTTGTTGCCTCGGACTTGACCTACTTGTCGGCGGGAACCCGTGGCGAAATCTCCATAGAAGAGTCGTTTTAGTAGCCTCTCGTCGTCCATTTGCACGAGGTGACCGCTCCACCGCAGTTGCAATTGTCTCAGCATCACGTAGATGCTGGGGATTCACGCCCATTTCAGTACGTCTGTTTCTGGGATCCGGTTTTGCCACCACAGCTTCAGTATCCGTCGAAGACAGCTGAGGTGAAAGGACTAGAGTCTCCGTTTCTGCTTCTTGTACACCGTCCAAATCTCGGCTCCGTACAGCAGCGTCGGCAGGATGACCGCCTTGTACATTCTCAGTTTGCTGCTGAGGTGGAGATCATGACGATTTCAGACTGTGCTTTTCAGACGGCCGAAGGTTTGGCTGGCTTTGAAAGTCCGGCTGGCCGTCTTATCGTCGATTTTGGTGTTGCGGAGAGGGTGTTGCCCAGTAAGGTGAAGTTGTGCACGGCTTTCGAGTTGGGCGCCGTTCACAGTTATTTGACATGCGACGTAAACAGCGTTGTATTTCGGTTGACGCATAACCAGCGTTTTCTCTGTGTTGATGACCAGGCCGAAGTTGTCGTAAGCGGCGCCGAAGAGTTCCATGCTCCTTTGCATGTCCCATTCGGAGGTGGCGTTGAGGGCGTAGTCGTCGGCGAAGAGAAGGTCGTGGACGGGAGTTGTGGATACACGCGACTGGAAGTGCATCAACCTGTGGTTAAGGAGGTGGCCGTCCGTCCTGTAGGCGATGCGGATCCCGGGGCGTTCGTCGCGGTAGGCGTCCGTCAGCATGGCAGAGAAATAAGACTGAAGAGGGTAGGCGCCTGCACGCATCCCTGCTTCACTCCGCTGGTCACTGCGAATGCCTCTGAAACGGTCCTATCGTCCGTGACGCATACCGTCATGTCATTCTGGAGCTAATGCACCATCTGAGTGAATGGTTCGGGACAGCCAAATTTCTGCATGATTTTCCACTGCCCCTTGCGATTCACCGTGTCAAACGCTTTCGTCAGATCCAGGAACGTAGAGTAGAAGTGGATCCACATCTACTGGCGTCTCTCCTAATGTTGTCGGAGGCAATTATCATGTCGGCGCTCCCACAATGACGGCGGGAGCCGCATTGGCTTTCCAGAAGGAAACCTTATTCCAGATGGCTGCTCAGACGGTTTGGGAGGACGCGAGAAAAGATCTTCCGAGCAATGTTCAGCAGGGAAATGCCTCGGCTGTTGTCGCAGAGCTGGCGCTTGTAGAGGTAGACGATTGTGGCGTCCTGAAATCCTGGGAGAACTTGTCCTTGGCGACATGTCTTCTGAAAAACCGCCGTCAGGTGATCCATGAGTTGAAACCACTGTGTCTGTAAATCTCAGCAGAGACCGCGTCCTATCCAAGTCTTTCCTCACTCGAAAGTTCCTGCACGGCCCTGATGGTTTCGTGGAGAGAAGGCGTCGTAAGTGGTGTGGTCGACAAGACAAGGTTTCCCAAACCAGAAGTCAGGGAAAACGCATTGAGTTCGACAACTTTACTGACGTGCAACAGCGTACGGAAGGCTTTGCAAGCAGCTGCCTAAAGCGGTCTCTCCAGGCAAGTTGTTTGCCTGTGTCCGTTGTTGAGGTACTTAGACCGCATAGCGTGTGTGCGTCTTTCGCTCTGCCTCAGTGTCCGCCAGCCAATGAGAACATAGCGATGTTGATTGGCTTCGAGCATTCTCGAGGCCAGTGACAAGCCTCGCGCGGTTCCAGCAGTAAATCGACAGGGAGTGTGAAGCGGACAGAAGGGCAGAGTGACAAAGCGGTGGAGAGCAAGGAGATGTGGACTGTCACAGTACCTGCCGGCTATACCGAAGGTGGCACGTAACGATGCAGAAGGAATTGTTCACATCTAAAAAAACATGAGTAACCAATCGGTCGGGAAAGTGAACATGACGTCCATTGCGGGTGATATTAACAGGGGGCACAGGAGAAGAGCGAGAGCGTGCTGCACCTGGAGTACTGGAGGTGGATGAAGAAGTTAGAGTTGAAAGTAGCGGACATGGAGGGAGAGAAAGTAAACGGAGCGCAGCGATAGAGGGTGGAGGAGGTAGAGGAGAGGGGAGGGGATCACAGAGCCCATCAGATGGAATGTCCGGGGCAGGAGCTTTGAGACGGTCCACGCTGACGACCTCCTTGCGAGTTCCGCGTTGGATGTGGAAGCTCTTCATCCCACGAGAGATGACTCGGAAGGGGCCGTCGTAGGGTAGTTCCAATGGCCGGCGGAGCCGACCGCACCGGAAATAGGCGTGAGGGCATGCCGCCAAGTCTTTCTACAGGTAGGACTCGAAGACGGATGGCCTGGGCGGAACCGGAGAAAGTGTCCACATGAGTTGCCGGAGACGGAGCAAGAGATAGGTAGGATCCTCGGCCGCATCTCGCGAACTTGGAGAGATCATCTCACTGGGCAATCGGACGGTGGCGCCGAACACCACTTTAGCGGCTGAACAGTCAAGGTTCGACTTGAGTGGGGGCGGATGCCTGGCAGGACCAGAGGGCGGTGGTCCGTCCAGTTGTCCGGGTCGTCTGTGGAGCGTAGGCATGCCTTTTAGCTGGCGGTGAAACCCCTCGAATATCTGTTTGGCTGCCGGATGATAGGCTGTGGCGCGGATGCGAGCACAGCCTAAAAATGAGAGAAGAGACTGGAAGAGGTTAGATTCGAATTGGGCACCACGGTCAGTCGTGATATTGGAGGGGGCACTGAAAATGGTAACCCAACGAATGAGGAAAGCCTTGTGGACGGTTGGCGCAGCAATGCCAATCAGGGGATAGCTTGAGGTCACCTCGATCCAGACAGGTGATGTGATAGGAATAGACATTGAACAGAGGCAGGGGACCTACAATGTGCAGGTGAACGGGGTTGAACCTTGCATCTGACGTGGGGAAAGTGTCGATGGGACCTTTGCTGTGAAGTTGGACCTTATTCCGTTGATAGCCGAGACACGCGCGTGTCCATGCCTTCAGGTCCTTGTGCATTTAAGGCAAGACTTAACGGTCGGAAACCAGTTTGTCGGTAGTTTGACTCCCAGGGTGCGATAGGTTGTGGAGGGAGGAGAATACTTTGCGGCGGAGGGATGGCAGCAGAAAGAGAAGGTTGGAAGTGGTGGATGCGTTGCATAAGACGGTGCCGTTGCCAGTAGTCAATGGCAGGCCCTGGAGTTGGAGTCTGAAAACGTTCTCGCCACTGTGAGAACCAAAGCTACGTTTTTCGGCAGAAACCTCAGCTAGGTTGATCTCGGGAGAAAGTTGGAGATGTGCGATGAAGGGTTTGTAAAATGCGTCAGCCGCCTCATTGCACGACCCGTCGATTTGACGAATGCCTAAGGTGAACTTTTAGATGTATTTCAGTTGGCGAATTTTCCGCAGGTTGAGATTGACAGAATTGGACTTGGGAGCGAAGGAAAAGGCGTTGTGATCAATGAACACAGTTAAGTTGCTGCCCTCAAGGAAGTGCCGGGAGTGTTTCACGATGAGGAACATAGCTAAGAGCTTCCGTCCAAATGCACCTTAGCTAGAGATTGGGTACGACCTGAAAGGTGTTTTTAAAGAACTGCGCCTACTGCGAAATTGGAGGATTTGACCATGAGGGCGATGGGAGCATCAGGAGAAAAGTTAGTCAGAAGGGTGGTGTCGGCCAGGGCAGCCTTTACCTTGTCAAAAGCAAGGAATGCTTCTGCAGACAGCTTTGGGACACGAAAGGAGTCTCTGAGCGGCAGGGTGGTGTCGGCGCAGTGTGGGGCAACCGGTGGTATAAATTCACTTTGCACAGAAATCGCTGTAGCTGACGTTTTGAAGAGGGATGTGGGAGATCATGTATAGTCGCAACCCTCGATAGAAGAGGATGAATGCCGTTGGAGTTAACCAGGAGGGCACACTGAAGGCGCACTTGGACGGGTTAAGAATAACGCCAAATTGTTGATGACGGTCAAACACCGTTGTATGATGCTCCATGTGTTCTTCGGTGATGAGGCTGGTCACAAACAGATCTTTGATATAGGCGTAGACAAATGGTAGGCCGCGAAGCACTCTGTCTACGAACCTCTGGATGGTCTGAGAGACGTTGTGGAGTCCGAACTGCATGCGCAGGAAATCGAAGAGGCCAAAGGGAGTGCTGACGGCCGTCTTCAAAACGTCCTCTGGGACGATGGGAATTTAATGGAAAGCACGAACCAGGTCAATCTTTGAGAACACTGATTTGCCGAATAAGGCATAGGCAAAATCGTAAAGATGTGGGACTGTGGTGGTCAAGGATGTGAGATCAACTCAAACCACGCACAATAAGTTCGTTTCGTCTAATTTCAGCAGTCAGGGAGCTGTGAGGAATAGTTTATTCTGTACACAGGACAGGTTGCCGTAAGTTGGCTGTTTGCTTGCAACAGAGATAAGCGATCGCTCATGGAGAGCGTCAGTCGCGGTGTGTTGTTTACGCGGGAGTGAATGTCTGGGTCAGCAGGAGGGGGTGACTGTCTGAGTGTTGGTCGTGCGATTGGACAAAGTAGGGGAGGAATGGAGGGCGAATACTCACATGGTCTCACGGGTATCAAGCCAGAGCGTTCGACGCGCGTGGGGTGATACTAGTTTGTCAGGGCAGCCGGGAGTCAATGCAGGTGGACAGGAGGGGCCCCAATTCTAGACGGTGTGGGTGGTCGTGTGTCAGCGGCCTGTCAACGCTTGTCGCGGCTATCGACCGACAAAACGGAGCCGGAGAAAAGGGGGACTGGAGAGGCTGCTAGAGGACAGCGTAGCGGTCCGGGACAGCAACGTTGTTCAGGTCCCTGTAATTACTGCAGGGGTGTCAGCCACCAGTGACGACGTTTTGGACCATGTGAAGGAGCGATTCCTAGGGGCTTTCACATTGACGGATGATGTCCATTTGAAGCATGTGCTCGAACTCAGCCTTGGCGGCAAACAGTCGTGCGAGCCTGAGACGTCGGGGCCGAGAAAACACGGGAGGGCCAGTGGTCCGGATGTGGTGAACAACATCGTGTGGTGGAATAGAAATGATGAAGTTGGGAAGACTGAGGCCGGGGTATTTAGAGAGGAGTTGTCGAAATGGATATTCGGGTTCAGGGTCGACGGGAAGCGTCAGAAGAAGAAATACCCGAGGTTGTGAGGTTGGTAGTCTTGTCGTGTAAACGGGACTGAGGCCAGTCGATCAGAATATCGGAAGCTGCGAAGAAGTCTGCACCGAGTATGACACGGGGGCTGTCAGCAACGACGAAGACCCAGAAGAAAAGGCGCCGGCGGCCGATGTCCAAGGAGAGGGAACAGGTGCCGAAGGTGGTAATGAGTGATGTGTTGGCGGCCTGGAGGAAATGGTCGAGATTGGGGCACCGACGATCAGCAGATGTAGGCGGAATGACACTCAGCTGCGCACCAGTGTCAACCAGGAAACGCCTGCCATTTCGGATGTCGCCGACACGAAATGTGCAACCTGGATTAGGGCTGTCAAGAAGATTAGCTGCACTGCCCTTCGGGCTGATCCTTTTTGCCCGTTTGCGCTGTTCGAAGATGAAGGAGCAGACAAAGATGGAGCGGCGGGCCTTAGCACCAAAGGTGGTGTGATACCAGCAGGTGACGACTGTGGTGGAATGGACTGAGTGTGCGGACTGAGTGGACGACTTCGGTTGTCTGTGAAATGAGAAGGAAGCTGTCTGCTTCTGGAGAGAAACTCTCTCAGCGGCCAGCTTGGTAAGCCCGATTTCCAGCTGCGTAAGTGGAAACGCAGGAGGTGTTGGTGGTGCTGAAAGTAGCGGCTTGGAAAAAGGGCGCATCTCCATAAGTCGTTAGGCCATCGGAGTAAGTTGAGCGGCCGAAAGAATGTCAAAATTAAGTATCAAAATATGCTGCCCTTAGGAAAGAATGGTAGGAGATAGAGCCTCGACCAACTTGTAACACTTGTCCGTTTCTCGTGCTACCTTTGCAGAATGAAACGTTGCCTCAATACAGAAGAAATACAGTTCTTTCACATGTTGCCAGAAGTCTGGGAGGGACAAAACAACTTTACTGAGAGACGTAGCAGCGTTGCTGGAATCCTTTGAGGGCATGGTGGCAGACAGAATCAAGGAGAACGGGCTATATACAGACAGCAAATATACGTCAACAGATTAAAGGCGTAACTAAAAGTTACGCTAAAATAGTCTGTAGGAAATAGACAACGATCTCATGTTGAAGAAACCGACTTCGTTCTGGGAGTCGTTTTGCTTACTTTAAACCATGTTAAATGCAGTCGCATATGTTACATCTCTCTGAATGAAATTCACCGGAACTCTATTTTTTACAGGGTAACTTGGCAAGGGCGTGATTTATGGCCGGGTTTCTTACCCCCGGGAGTATTTACGTTAAGCAAAAGAGGTGGACATTTAAAAACTTTGTGAAACCACAAATTCTGATCTTCCATTTTGTCACCAATTAAAAGGGGACGCTGCTTTTTACCACTTAATGATAATATTGAATGAATTGAATGTCCCTCTGCAGACATTGCCAAAAAGGTATTGCATTGTCGAATTTTTACTTTACAACAGTCGGCGCGAGGTATTTTTACTTCTTCCTCTGACACACATAAATAAATATCGTCAGTCATTCTCTTTTAGCACAATTGTTCCCCTGACTAAGAAAGCCCGGCCACAAAACATAACCCTGCCGGTAACTTCGATAGGGCACCCTGGCTTCATGGTTATACAATCGGATCGACGATATTTGAATTAAAGCACAATTGCCGAGCGCCCAATATAATTTGCTAGAAATAGCTACCACGTGTTTATAATTAAACAGAAAGCTTCTTATTAAATCAAGACGAGGAAGTAGCAAAAACACTTTTTCGTGGGCCAAATAAGCCAGTAAATTCCGACTGAATGAGCCTTTTCCACAGTGAAAATTTCGACTCAAGCAACTTGCACATGGTAATAATCAATTGCACAGACTTCTAACTGAAAAAATCAATACAGCTTGTGTGGGGCATTTTGAAGCCGTTAGTCTCTCATGCACCGGCTAAAGGGTGGCACGCCTTCTGCTCTTCGCATCTATCATCTGCATACCCTGTGCAACCGATCTCAGCTCGCGGTGTGCCTTCTCTGCAAGTCGTTGCAGCTTTGCATAAAGCGCACTGGACAGATATATCGATTACGTATTGACGTCAGGAGTCTGCACCTTCACGGATGGAAAGAATGTAATGATTCGCGTTCCCAAGAAGTCAACTGAAGTTCGACACACGAGGGCTGGTGCCTACTTGTGCACTGAGAACCGAAAATTAAACGCCTTTTGTGTTCTGTGAGTCTTGTTTAAGATCTTTGAACTCTACTGTAATGATGGAATACGAAAGAGCCTGTTGATAAATGCAGGAAGCTGGCCAATGACTAGTTCTACTAATTTCTGAGCAGAATGTCATGGATACCGACTTTGCAATTTTACTTCGCTGGACAATTCAGATGCACGCGAACGCATTATCAGAAACACCAACAGATAGCCGTATTGTATGCATAAAATGTTCAACATTCGGATGACTCAGTTGCTGCACTATCCCGTTCCTTTTCAGTCATATATGTCTAGCCTATTCTTATTAGTCGTAGGTAATTAGGCTTGGAAGGTTACCACAACGATTGTCTCTTATAAATGATGCCCTTCTTTTGAGTGCATTTCCGCGCCTTTTGCTCTCTCTGATGCCGGGTTCGTATGTGATTACGAAATTTCATGCGGATAAAAGCCCTGTTTTGACGTTCACGTCTATCAACAGGCTCTTTCGTATTCCATCATTGCAGTAGAGTGCAAAGATATTGAGCCAGACGCACAAAACACAAAATGCGTTTAATTTCCTGTTCTCCAGTGCACAAGTATGCACCAGGCCGCATGTGCCGGACTTCAGTTGCCTTCTTGTGAACTTGGATCCTTACATACTTGTCATCCGTGAACGCACAGCTTACTGCCGTCAGTACGTGCTCTAAATACTTGTTCAGTGAGCTACGTTCAAAGCTTCGTACGAGGACAAGGCCAGGATGATTTCATGGCGTGACCTGTACGGCATATTTGCTTTTATGTGAGGTCCGAGACCGTACATGTGGCCTTTCCTTTGGGCTATGCGTGGCAGGCGCAGACGTCCCACAATGGAAGAAGGCATCGAATGTTTCCAGCGCCGAACAACTTCACACCGAAATATCGATACCCATGTGCCACATCTCCTAACCGGTGAGTGCGGAAAGCTTGTTCAAAATCATGAGTAACAGTTCGCGAATGGGTTGCACGGTAAGAGTTCCACTTCATAGGTTCAGACTACAGTTAGCTGTTAGGGGTTAAATTCCGAGGTCAGGCCTCCAATTTGTGGTTAGGATCGGGGTAATATGCTGAGTAGAGTCGGATTATACTTATTTTAACGTTACGCGGTCATTTTCGCTCTGACGGTATCTTTTTACGTTCCCAGAGATACCATTAAAGAAGCCTCCGACGCCCGTCATTCAACCAAAACCAAGGCAGCAGGAAGAAAGCCATAAGGAGTGCTCTAATTTACTGGAAATTGACCTCCTTGGAATACCAAGAAACGTCCAACCTTCATTTTGGATTCCATTTCTCATCCCTCGGGCCAGATGAAAAGGACCATTCCAGCGCAAGTGGACAAATTCAGATGTTTCCAGACACATGCCACGGGCATTTTTCCTCGCCATATACCCCTCGACAGCGGAACTCTCTCTCTTACATAACCGTACCTAGGGAGGATACCTATGCTTTCATGCCTCTACTGTGTACTTCCCCGAAAGACTAAAACGTCGAATGCTGCTTTGCTTTTCCGATGTTGTTTTGAGATTAATAATCAGTAAGTCCTAAAGACAGTGTATTACAGACGTTTTACACTGCAACGGTTACATAGGCAGTGTGTAGGTAACCGCCATCGTGAAGACCTTTTAGTTATTTGAGCGAGCCCACAGCTAGATGGAGCAGAACGCAGCCCCATCCTTTCTTCCTCGACCGCACAGAGGCATAGCGATGGTTGAAAAACTGTTGGATAAGCTCACGAAGGCAAGCCTCCACACGCAGATTTACTATCACGAAACCATGTTCAGTACCGTGGATATGGAACCGGTGGATACACATGCGAGGGCTGGTCGTATAAAAGTCGCCTCAACTTCTTCTGTAAGGTCAAGCAGATCGATCTTTGTGCCCCTGTGACTGTGGCTGGAGATAATACAGTAGACGTGATACGGGGCTCAAACACAGGACGGGACGCGTTAAAGGCAAAATAATTACGTAAGCCACCGAAATGCAAGTCTACTGAGGTGCATGGCGATAACTATTTAGTAGGTTGGGGCCGCAATTAGACAGGTGGCCCATAAATCACTAGGAGTATCAGACTATAAGCGGCTAGTTCGTGTCACTCAGAATGCTTCCGTCCTAGTAGGCAAGCACGCATCGAGTGGCTACAGGCACATAACCAATCACTTTATCTGCCCATGGGAATGACCGAGATTATAGTTAGGGTCCTGACTAATTCAGCTTTGGTCGTGGAATAGTGCCTTTGAGAGACGCGCATCTGATATCTTTCTAACGCAGTTACTCCATCGAAGTTGACTTTGCTTAGAGGTAAAGGAGGCTGAAAATGTGAGTTGACTACACTAAGCACACGTCAAGAACTTGTTTATACTGAAACAGTTTCAGGGTGCCCCACATAGGGATGGCGTCCACGTGGTTTGGTTTTCTGGCGCTGTGCCGGTATAGAATTAAGTTTTGTATGCCCTAGAAAACAGTGGCAGTAGCAGGACCCCAGTCTACGGACGTAGGCCACAGTTTAAAGAAGTATGTACATAACGGAAAAGATCGTTGTTCTGTGCAAATCTCCTCTTCTGTACCTCTGATCAGCCAATCCAGCGGTTGGGCATAAAACAGGCGAAGAAGGCGGAGATACGTATAAAAATCAATTAGCAACATTTGCTTTCTTAGAAAATTAATAAGTAAGGAAAAAACAAAACCATCTGTAATAAATCCATACAGCAGCACCGATAGCATCTTGCTCGATGAGTAAAATGGAAAGGGAGGGGCATGTGTACAAAAGATGCGTCGCACCATTATTCATGATTGTTTGTCTGGTCCAATACCCACATTAAAACCCGCTGTCGAGAGGGGACACTGCCCGTGAGGCGGTTGTGACATTTGAGAGACCTAACGGACAGCGTACTACTGCTTACAGAGGATGTCATAGAGGATGGACGATTGGAGAGTTTCGCTTCCGAATGACAGTCCGGTGAGACTATTGATCTACAGCAATCGAATTCTGGAGATTTGTGGTGTTCCTTCATCAGTATACGATCAACTAGGAAGGCGGCGAAGGAAAAGAAACAACAGTAAGACATGACACGAAATTAAGGACGGCCTTAAACTGGAGCGTGAATGTGAGAAAGAGACTACAGCTAAATAGGGGCAGGTTTATCAGCCTTGTTCATCCGACTCTCTCGTCCGGGTGAAATGTTTCGATGTCAGAAACCGAGGGCAGCACATTTTATTCCGTTCATTTTAGTTACCGCTGAGGATATCTATTCACGCAGTACTAACTGGCCGCCCACAAACGACCCGTGGATTATACCAACTCGATAAGGTGCATCTGGTGATGATGGCCATCAGAAATGGGAAGTTGACAGATTCCCAGGGGCAGTAACCTGAGAGCAGCAAACATTTTATCCTTAGCGAAATTATAAATGTCGGTCTTGAGAGCCAATGTACTATTCTTCATGTTACGCACCAAAGGAGCCTCGATAATGAAAACACTGCGTCCAATATACCTTAAATCATATTTGTTGTGCGTTTAAGCAAAACAGTTTGGAGAGTACATGGAAACATGTTCCCATTTTCCAGATATGACTTCGTTTGAACAAGGGAACGATAACGTAACATAAAAGAACTCGTTCCGTAAGTCAGAGAAAAGGGGACAGGGGTTATTTCCGCAGCTGAAAGGGGTAGTTCAGACAAATCAATTTTATGGCGCACAGCGGGAATTAGAGGACTCGCCGCTCGACTGCATCTTGGAGTATGCATCCAATCTCCCACAGAGTGTCTTGCGAGATATTGGTTAAAAATGATAACATGCCTCAATTGTAGCGTTAGTGGACCCTTGGTCGCGACGCTGTCACTTGGCTACTTAAACGCAGATAGTAGCGCTCTTATCGAAACCATAACATTTCCATTCCTTGCAAGCGCACTAATTTGTTTTACGGACAGAAAACGGGCGCCTCATAATCTTAGAAGCGCGGGAACAGATACCCCTTACTACCGCACGACCGAAGCAAGGGGTCTGTTTTGGGAAATTCACATAGGGCTTCGAATCTTCAAAGACGCCCCGACCTCATGGTTAAAACATTCGTGAATTCGTTAACTTTCCGCGAAACACTGATCTATAAAGCTATTCCCACCAATGAAGTCTAGAAGAGGACCTAAAAAGCGGTTTCTCAAACAGTGCGCGCCATCTACAGGTCTCGTTTCAAACTCTCCCTCCGCAATACAACCAAAAGCTTAGCTGAAAAGTAGAAGTTAACCATATGCACTGGAGGGAGTGCATATATCATAGTGGTGGTAAGGCACCATGGTACACGTCCCTGTAGTCCCGAGCTTGCCTTGGCATTGTAAGAGTGGGTGTAATTTGAGAGTAAGGCTGCTTTACAAGTCCTCCCGTCCCGCAACCATCTTTGTATTTTACGCTAAAGTCACCGCTGCATACCCGGCGCACCGTTAATTCTCATAGCTTGCAATGAACGACCTATTATATCGAGTGGCCGTTTGGGTGGCCCTGAAGCTGGGTGCTTCGGATCTTACATCAGGGTGCCAGGACCACAGATCTTGACCGAAGTTACCTCAGGCCTCTGAGTTGATTTGCAGGTGCTTGGGGGACGTGTTTAAGATGCCGACGCGGCGACGCCCGGGTTTGCCATATCTACGGGCATCCATAGTGACGTCACCACTGAATGGACATCTAGGCCAATGTCCCACGTCCATCCTTACAATGTGGCCGCAAAAAGGCGGTAATATTGAGCGCGGATAAGTCCGCGTTGAAAATCATGTCTTGCCACCTTAGACAGGCAGTATGTAGAACTTGCTTTGGAGGTCCGGTGGACAATTTCAAGGTCGATCTTGAAATTCTTAAAATTTTATTTCCTAAGAAGACAAATATGTTCACTGGTGTGACGTAAATTCAGTCAGCATATTTGGAGTAAATGACAGAAGTCCTTAAAACTCAATTTAAACGGTACAGGTGTGAATGAAAAGTAGTTAAGTCGCAAAAAGCTTTAGATGTAGTTGTGGTGTGCAGAATGCCTAAACCTAATGGCGCAGAAGGCACGCTGATTCCGTCTCGTAATACTCATCAGAAGGCGCTCGTTATGCACAACCATGGCCATCTCCGTGTTGACAGTCAGTCTGAAGTTTGTGCATCTGGAGGGAAAGAAGGACCGTACTCTGTATGTGCCTTCTTTCGTTGTAGTGTTGAGCGTGAAATCGTCCGTGAACAGGAGACAAGAAGACTGGTCCTGGAAGCCCACATGGTTGCCTGCACGCAATAGATTTTGGGAAATTTTTAGTTACTTCGGTAGACGACGCTGATTCATGGTCATTTCCAACCGTAGGCATCAATGAGCATGGCGGAGGACATGAGACTGCGGAGGATGGGAGCAAACATGCAGCCCTACTTAAGCCATTCTGCCACTGTGAATGCCACCAAAACTGAACCATTGTCCATGAGACGTACCATTCCCAAGTCGCCTGGCGAGATGTGAATCGCCCAGGACATCCGAATTTCAGAATGCTTTTCCAGAGACGATCTTGGTTAACTGTGCCGAAAGACTTTTTCAAATGTACCAGGATGGTGTTGCGGCTTGTCCACATTTCCTGGCATGTCGCAATTGGTGGGTCGCGAAAAGCACGTCTGTGGTTCCATTGTGTTTCCAGAATTTGCTCTGCACTTCTGGAAGAAGTCCCTGAGATCGGTTATTTACTGTTAGACATCTGTTGAACAGCATTGATAACCTTTTGCAGCGAGTGCGGACGGCCGATGTCGATGTCGACGTCCGCTTGAGGACGTCTGTTGGTGGTCCCGTCGCAGATTGTGGACGGGTGCTCTGAGGTCCTCGGCAGTGTGGGACTGACATAACGTATGATCTGGCCGGCCTTGGTGGTCGTAAACTGTACTTTTCACACGAGACGATTCGCGATAGCAAATCCGGAGAGTTCGAATCGTCCTCTCTTCCAGTCACGGAGAATGTGTGAAAAAGGTCTGAAAATCACTTTCATGTCTTGGAGAACTGTACAAAACTAGGTTTAAAGGTGACCTACTCTTCGACGACTCCGGGTGGGTAACAGTGCCAGATCGAGGGTGGTATGACGGAGCACAAGGAATGGAACACGCAGAACAAGCCCAGTAGCATTTCTTGGATGACAAGTGCGGACTATTTTTTGGAACCAAAATTAGCACACTTCACTCGAAAGATAATTCCCATGGACTGGAGGCAAAACACCTCCATGTTTGCTCAACTTCCAACAGCAGCAGGCACGGTGACTTGTGCGTGATTTCTTTTATATTGGTGGCAGACTTGCACAGCATCTACCGCACGCCCTCATCCCTAAGCTGGGCCGGCGTCAGGAAATAGCCAAGAAGACTGGAGGCTGGAGGGCGCAGGTGGCTAGCACGGCCGGGCACGCACCTAGGCGTGTCGACACACGCCTTGGTCCACAACAAACACTTTACCAGAATTTTAACTAATAACAGAAGAAGCCGGGGCTGCCCCTCGGCGTGCCGCGACAGTCGGTTCGGATCCTACTAGGTGGGAGTGTCATAGAGGCTACATTCAGAAGGAGCCATTACAGTCTGACTCTCAGAAAGCCAGTCGATCACTCCATACGAATACACACTGGGCCGGCTGAGAGGTCCAAGTTATCCCATCAGTTGGCATACAGGACTGACTGGATACTTGGGGCGATGTACATATAGCGTCACGGGGTGAGCATCTGCTGGGTGCATTCAAGTCAAGCTCGGAAGCCGGCTTGGCTGGCGCTCATCCTACTCACATATTCGCTGAAATCGGGAGTGCGATAACGGAGAAGACTACTACAATGAGGTGGCAGTTCTCGCACGCTGTCTCATCTTCCATCTTGAATATAGACGCAAGGATGCCCGAGTCCCAGTCATCAGGAACGCCCTCATCTCTCCACGCTTACTTTGCCATCTCGCGGATATAGGACGCCGGAGTTTAGACACAAGTTGCATATTTCAGTGGGAATAGTACCTTACTGTTGTGCAATTATTCCCTTAGGGGTGGGGGACTAAATAATGACGCATTGACTGGAGGTGAATAAAGATACTGCGGGAAAGTGGGCGGATAATGAATGGGTCATTGAGGATGAGAAAGGGCTGGAAGTGCTTATGTCAGCGCTCGATCTTGGTCGAGTTGTCCGCAGTATGGCGCCCATTTTCATAGCGAAACTATCCAGTGCAGAGGGCTCACCATTAACTTGGAGGAATAAGTGATACGAAGAACTTCAAGCTTTCCTGGCGTCTGTGCTGAGGGCGAACAAACAGATCGCCCTTGGCGGCTTCAATGACCACGTCGGGACATGCTGCCTGGGAGGGCACTGAGTCCCCACAGAATCGGCGGTTACAACGAAAACGGTCTGCCCTTCTGCGGAACTGCACAGAGTATCGCCTTCCCCACCAATAACTTCTGCCCTCCGACGCGAGAGAAGACAACAAGGATGCACCCCCGATCGCTCCGTCGTTGACTGCTAGATTGTGTTCTTGGTCGGAGGCGGGCTCGCCACAATGTGCTGGTGACCAAGGCGATCTGCAACGCCGATGGATGGGCGTGTCACCGCCTCATCATCGCCAATATGAGGCTCTGACTGTAGCATCGTAGAAGATCATAAGGTAAGTATACCGTTCTGTCGAGTGTGTCTGCTCATCCCCTGGATTTCGGCAATCAACTGACCAATCTTCTGGAAGACCCACAAGCTCCTGGCGACAATTTCATCATGGAGACACAATGGAGCCAACTACGAAACTTCATCTTCCACAACGTTATGGACGTCCTCGGTCACCAACGCTATCAACATCAGGGGTGGTTTGACAAAAACGATGAAGAAACCTGCAATCTGCTCTCAGAGAGGAACAGGCCAAACAAAGTCTACGTCAAACGCGAAAATGACACAAACAAAGCGGCCTTCCCCAGATTCCGCCGCTTAGTGCGACAACGGCTGCAAATATGTAAAATGCGTGGACGGATCGCAAGGCTGGCGAAGTACACGACTAAACGGACCGAAACGTTATGAAGGGTTCCTTTTCGTCCATTAAGGAAGTCTATGGCCCCGCACCAGAGGGACTACGCCGCTGCTCAGTTCCGACGGAACAACGCTTCTCACGGAGAAATCGTAGATGCTAAAACGCTGGAGTGAGCACTTCAGAAGCGTCCTCAGACGTTCAGACGCAATCTCCGACGCCGCCATCGACCGGCTTCCTCGCGTGGGAGCCAATACCGACCTGGGCCGTCCACCTTCCCTCCCAGAAACAATCGAAGTCAAGCAACAGCTCCCCAGCTGGAAAGCACCGGGATCCGACGCAATGCCGGCCGAAATCCACAGGCATGTCGGCCCTTGCCTGATGGACAAACTCACATCTTTGTTCCAGAAGATGTGGGAGCAAGGATAAGTCCATCAGGACTTTAAGGACGCCACCATCGTACACATATAGGAACGCAAGGGCAACTGTAAACACTGTGGCAATCATTGTGTTATCCCTCTCCCCAACATTGCAGGGGAAATCTTCACCTGAATCCTTCCCAAACGTTTCAACAGCCACCTAGAACAAGTACTGCCGGAAAGCCATTGCGGATTCCAAAGGAGCCGCCGCACCATCAACATGTTCTTAGCGGCGCGGTAACTGCTGGATAAATGTCACGAAATGCACACCAGCCATTGCACCACCTTTCTAGAGATGACAAAAGCCGTCGACACCACGACAGAGTCTGGGTGATTATGCGGATATCCGGAGCGCTCTACGAAAATGGTACATCGCCTCCACGACGGAATGATGGCGCGCTTCACGGACAGTGGAACAGTCTCAGAAGCATTTGCAGTAACCAGTGGGATGGAGCATGTTTGTGTAATCTCTCCCACCCTCTTTAGTCTCATGTTCACTGCCATGCTGATGGACGCCAACCGTGATGAGCGTCCTGGGATCAACCTCGTCTACAGCATCAACGCCACTTTCTCAACATCTAATGCAAGCAGTCACGAAAAGGTCCGCAACCACTGTTCATTACTCCCCTTCGCAGACTGGGTCCTCAACGTCACGACAGAAGCAAATATGCAAAGAAGCGTGAGTCTTCTCGGATCCGGCTGCGCGAACTTCGGGCTGACCATCAACGCAGACAAAACGGTGGTTATGCATCAACCGGCAGTAGAGGATCAACTTGAAAGAAACTCGACATGCATCGGTGGACAACTTCGCCTACTTCGGCAGTGCAATTTCAAAAAGCATCAAGCAACAACGGAGAAACCCATACAAAACCATCCAGGCCTTCGGCCGGCTGCAGACCGCTTGGAATCGCCACGGTCTCTATCTCAACACCAAAGTCAAGATGAACGGGGAATAACCTTGAGGTCACTATACCAGAGGATGGAGACATAGACTGTCAAGGACAACCATGCGGGGGTGCTGGGCCAGTCTCACGCAAACTGTCTCCAGATAGTACTAATGATGAGGCGGCAGGGCAGGATCTCGGATACGAAAGCCCTAGAACGGACCGAATCCCTCTGCATCCAGGCCACGCTGAGACTAATTCCAAGGGGCTGGGACGGCAACATAGTGAGGAAGGATGACAGGCGCTAACCAAAGGACTCTTTTAAGACGATGTCGCTACGGGTGCCCGCTGGCGAGGACAAAAAGGACTCCTTGAAGACAAATCGCAAACATCTGATGATCAACCCAAAGATCTGGGATGGCCTCACCCAGGACCGACGAGCCTAGATAAAGGCAGTGAAGACTGGAAGAGCAATCTACGAAACCAATCGGATCCCTGTTGTCAAAGCCAAAAATGCGGTCAATACAGCCACATACGCATCGAAGACAGACAAATTCACCGCAATGTCGACACGCCAAGACTACTTTGCACCTCTGACAACTCCCCAAAGTCGAGCCCTAGCAACTACCTCACCACAACCGCAGCGAACACCGCCGTCGCCGACTCGACAGCTCCCAACCTGTCCAGCTCATGCGCAGCAGGCGTCGGCCTGGTCGGTCACTTACGAGAAGTCAGAGCCAGGAGTCCCGACATGCATTCGCCGCCTCTGACTAAGCTGCCTACACTGCCAACGCACACTGAATCATCAAATAGGCCAATACGGTCACATGCTCATCTACGACAGCGGAGTTTATCGAAATGACGACATGTAAGGCTCACGTTGCGAATGCAACAACTCTTCCGTCTCTAGCGTTACCAAGTCCCTTTAACAAGAAACGTCACCGCTGCTGTCACCAAAACAATAACCGCTCACCTACTGAATTTATTTGAAGTGCGCGCACTAGATTCCTTGGAAAATAAACAAGGCAGCTACCAACCTATCTTGCCCATATTGCCACCGCACACGCACACCCCGCACCGACCTGGCGGGTCACTCGCAAATCCATCGCAGAGACTGGCGAGCCAGTGCCAGGAGCACCAACACACACCCGTCGTCATCGTTTTACCTACTCGCCCTGCCCACACGCATTCAGTCATCGTATGCATCTGCATGCTAATTTGCGGTAAGCCACCGCAGACCAAAGCCCATCACTACACATCTTCCTGCCAACAGACACCACACACAAACCCGTCCCAAGTCGCCCAACAAAAGCAGAGAATAAATGAGAAGTAGGCTCTTGGTGCCGTCTCCACGTGGCCTCCACAGTGCCCCAGCGCATCTGGGATCAGTGCCGTCCATCTTTTTGTGAAGAACTAGTGTTGCGCGAGGGGGCAGTTTGAGTGTGACACGGGCAGGCGGGTTGTTTAGCTCTCTCAGTCACTTGGGCCCAATCCCCGCATCAGACCGGCTCGGACAACAGACTGATGCCCTGTAATGGGAGGAGGATCGACTCTGGGACTCTGCAGCACTCAGCGCATACTCCTCACTATAAACAATCTGACGAGCTTTTCGGCTATCACGGCGTGCCAAACTTAGGGGTTTGGAAGGCTGCGAAGTAAAGGAATAACTGGGTCCTCCGCTAAGGACGAGGAGCCAAACCGCAGTGACTCCTTGTTAATGTGACCTCTATAGCACTTCGACTTTGTTGGGATCCGAGGTGCTCCCTTCCCGTTAGTGTGAAATCCTGGTCCATCGTACAAGGACTAGGTGCAAGTCACCATCTTGCACCCATCATGCTATCGGATACACAGTAGACATCGTATTTCGCGACGGTCGAACCGAGTAGTTGTATTTCCATTCAAATATATATCTATGTATTTCGGACCGTTCACGGCTTTCGAAGCAAACAGACTGTAGATGAACGGCTGAGTGTCATGTTTGCCGTGCTCGCGCAAGGGGATGCATACGATCTAGACTGAGATAGGCAGAAAACATCCACTGGTCAGTGACGAGCTACAATATTCGATTTTCAACTGGCGCACCCTCAGAGTTCGACCGTCGCACGGAGCCACTTCAGGTAAACAGAGCTCTAGGTATGAAAATATGGGCTCCATTGCCAGGGTCGCAAAGGCTGATGGTTTGGAACAGATAAGGTCGGGGTGGAGTGCAAGGTCGTTGGTTTCTTTAATGGAGAAACAGTTCCTCTCTGCTATAAAACAAACGTCACACGATCATAAGAGGTCTCGGATTTTGGTACTTAAGGATAATAGAGAAGCAGGTAGTGTGGATGAAGGCATCATATAGGATACCCTATCGATAAGAAAAGTGGGGCGATGAAGATACCAACCAACCTGGCCTTTTTGGTGACGGTTCATAGTTTCCCGAGGTTGAGTCTGCGTCTGTCGACTCAGAGTCCAGGAGAATGCTAGAGTCACCGGTTGACGTAGTATGACTGTCTATGTACCAAAGCTGTTATACTTAATGACACTTTATTCCAACCTGAGGGTGAAGCGAGTTTCAGTTCGTTTATCGAGATAACAGAACCAGCTCTAGAATAAGAATACTTGACAAGACTTATAAGTGAAAAATAAAGAAACCTTCTTTTCCAAGCGCTCCGCCAAATGCTCCATTAAGCCCATCCAAACATGTGAACCAGTTGTCCCCTCCGAATGGCTTTCGAGGGCTAAAAATAAAGGGGCACGAGTTAAACACGTGGAAGCCAGCAATGAATGAATGAATGACGTTGGCGATTAAATAAATGCCCTCGAGCATGTATCAACCGGCGTCAAAGAAGTTGAAAAGCTAAGGGTAGAATCCACTGCGTGAAATATAAATGAACTGCAGCGTCGATGTGGAACTAATAAGCATACGGGGGTAGGTAAAAATTGAATTTCGTAAGAAGACTCGTTTAAAAAATTTACGACCGGCCTCTAAGGCTACCTGTGCTTTCACGGCTCCATTACCTTCTACCTGTTTCGATGAAACTGACCTCGAAAATTCTAGAGAGTGCTGTCCCGATACTGATCTTCCTGTGTAGAGCCACGTGCAATTTGTGGCATTACTGTCTGATGAGTTGGAGAGAACAGATAGATTGGAAAAGTAACAATGGCTATAAAATGTGTCCAGTACAGGACAAAAGAATTTTAGGAACAAGGGCACAGCAAATAGTCTACATTACTACAAGGGACGATTGTTGATGGTTGCCAGCATAAATCGGTTGACTAGTTGCTCAGGTGACTAAAAAAGTGTAATCGTTTACCGACGACGGTCATGGAACCCAGACCGTGTTTGTAGTTCAAATGGCGAGTGAAGGGGTTTAGAGGAAGAGGCATGAGAAGTCCGATGGAGATAGCGTTTTTTGCGTTGCTGATGGGCAGGAAACAGCCCCTGAGAGTGGAAAATTTAGCCGACGTACATCAGGCAATTCAGCCCCAGAAGGGAAGTTTTGGCAGACAGTGAGGCGAAGCAAATTAAATTTATAAAAAGCGTGGCCGAGGCTTAGCAGATGCTACACGGAAAGCTCCATTCATCTTTCCCACGTCGGAGTCACACACGTCACAGAAATAGGCGATCTGAGGGGGGTCTCCTCACTGGTGGCCAAACTACTACGGCTTGAGGCCGCCTACCTCCTCCGACTGGAATGTCGTGAACAACATTTTTCGATGCGGTTTCCACCATATCGTTGTTGCTGCTGTGGATTGAAAGGATCAGTGCAAGTCATGAATGGACTTTGGCAGTGGAGGCACAAGAGGAATGACTGGACGGCAACAGCGCTATTCCTGGTCTTGTGCTTGATCCGCCTCCCTCTGGACTTCACTAGTTGGTTGTTAATGCCATCAACAGGAGCTCGTGCATGCCTCTTGATCCTGTGCGAGGGTCTCCTGAAGCTTTGTCTGAACCAACGGTGTCTACGTGAGGCGTTTCAGGCCTCCTTGTGTGGGTGTCTCTGACCTAATCGGTGCACATTTGTGGAAACAATTATAGTGGTTTCCTTCGAAGGAGCTCAATTAAAGTCAATCAAATGTTTTGTATTGCTCCGCAGTTTGGTCAATTTGGATGGTCTTGGCGGGAGCGGCTGCAGCTGAAGGGGTCATAGTCCAGTGAGGTCAGTTCATCCCTAAAATCAAACGTCCGATCTCTTCGTTCTTGTCAAACTAGTTCAAATCGAGTTTGCACGTGGGTCCAGGAATGATCATAGGGGAGGTATAGACCTCTCGAAGCGTTATTGAACTGTTTTCAACATTGTCTGCCTACAGATGTCATTATTGCAGTCTTTTGGTCTGGTGTTATATCATACTTCCCAGAGAATTGATAAGTTAAAAGGTGTCACGCAAGCTACGTGGAGATAATGTGTCCAATCGACTTAAGCCAATCACTTTGCAGTTGTGTGATAGGGAGAAATGAACATGCCTTGTGCCAGCCATATAGAAAAGACGGGTTTGTGAATTTTTGGCAATCAATACGGCCTTGGGGGACTTGTGTCTGTGAGATTGGGAGATTCAAGTCCTCGTTTACTAATACAGCGTCGGTTTTTCAGTTTGGGAAGATATTTTGTGAGTTAGACTTCTATGATCTCAGTTTGGTCCTTATTTGGCGGAAAATGTGCAAGATCTAATGGTAGGACTATTCAAGTAACGTTTACTGCGTATAAGGGTTACCGATAAAAACAAGAATGCTGAAATGGTCTTTTCCGGCTTACGAACTGTTAACGGTCAGTAAAACCCAAACCACAGATGCTAACGTACCCGAGACTCGAACAGGAGCCAGCGGTGAGGGGCATAAAGGAGTCATAACCCCTAGTTCGAAAACAAGACATCGATGTTCATTCTAACCCGTCAACTACAGTTGGGGGTGCAACGACATCAGGCCGATATCACCTTGCCTAATTTGATGATCGGAAGAATCAAATTAAGATCACCGTAAGGAGAGTAAAGGCAGAATTAAATAAGGGCATGGATTAAGGAACTTATTTCACAGCTGACATCTCTTGTTTGTAAACGTTAACTGGCTTATGTGAGGCTTAAAATAATATTAAGTGACTGGAAGAATTCCGTGGCCGATGTAGAAGAAAAGGAAAAAATTACAGGAGCCGAATATGACCAAAAAGACAGACTGACAGGCGGCATAGTTTCTAATATTGTCAAGATGCCCTTACAAGGAAAGATGTCAGAAGAGCCCCGAGGGGCAGACATCCGGTTTGGGCACAAGCGATATTGACCATCCCGCATTCGTCCGCAAGACGCATAGCCAGTGCAGAAAAAGATGCATAATGAGATCTAATTCGACCGAAGTTGCGGAGATCTTTAGATAACCGATGTTACATTTTAGTGCTAATATTGGCTTAAACTTTCGGTCAAATTGTATGTTTTGGAATCTTAGTCGTGAGGCTCAGTAAGCTTCAGATCAAAATAGCCTTGAAACAGTTCAAAGGAGCGCCAACAAATTAATTAGGGGTCGAAGTACCTTCCCTTTGGAAACCGTAAAATGAGAGACATTTTCTCTCTTTTAGGGTGCAGACAAATTCGCTGGGACCTCTGGCAAGCAATTTCATTTGCGAAGTGACTGGACTACAGCGTAAACTTTGGCGACTAGCATAAATTTGCTAACACGACCGAACTCTGAGACCACCAAATAAAAGTGGGAGCGCGCATTCTCACGTTTTCAATCAGGGTGCTTGAACCATGTGACCTACCCCTGCAGACGCTATGATGTCACCAAGTACTGAAAGCTTCCATAGGGTTCTTGAAAAAAATATCTTTCAAAACGAGCAGGCACTTAAGCCTTGAGACCCAAGTTTACGGTTTTTCATTATGCGGTTACCTTTAAACTTTTCTTGTCCGGAAATGGACGATAAGTTAGAACACCTAAGTCGGTTTTCCGCAGTTGTTTTCACCGATAAAGCGGACTTTAACGAGTCTGGATGGCCTACTGGAACAACGGACGCAATAATACAAAGTATTTAATTCACAGAAAATGTGAGAAAAGAAATTCAAACGCCCAATAAGTGAAAATCTTTGGTCTTGACCAAATACTGGCGAAAGTTATGTAGGTGTCCGTTTTCGAAATCTCTTGACCGCTCCCACGGATTTTTCAGTCGTCCTCTGATCGAGGCATTCTCACCTCAGATTAGGTGGCAAATATATATCCCATTTACAAGAGTGGATCTAGAACAGGTACAAACAACTGTCGGCCGGTGAGGCTATCTTGAACTTGCTACAAAGTTTGATGAACAATGGTCAAATAGCCATGGCTTTCGATGAAACCACTCCTGTTTAACCAACATACTCTATTAAATTAATCAGCGATCTGGCCCCTTAGACGAATCCACAAGGGTCGGCGTCAATCAAATGGACTTCAACAAAACTTTTGATAGTGCTCAACACCGCTGGTAACTATTCAAAGTTCGAGAGTCGGGGATTAAGGTGAATTTATTCAACTGGATAGAGGACTTCTTGGCCGGCTAGTCACAGTCTGTGTGCATTGGCAGTGCGAACACAATGCCAGTGCCAGTTCCAAGTGAAGTACTTCAGGGCTCAGTGATCGGACCAGTACTGTTTCTAATTTATGTTACTGACTGTGTATATATACTAGACTGTTAACGAGTCATGTTTGCTTATCACATCAAATTGTGGCGGGCACTCAACCGCGAGAATGAGGGACGGACCCTGCAAGAAGGAATTAGCCGACTGTCCGAATGGTACGGCAAATGGCTGCTAGAGTTTATCCTTGAGAGTTATGACTCATCGCGACTCAAAACGAAGGATAGAGCAAATTGTGATGACCACCAGTATCTCCTTTGCGTAAGATGACTTACAAATGTAGCTGAACAAAAAGACCCTGGGATTAACACTTTGTCGTCTGTTAAGCCCTCCTATCACAGCATCCGGACGTCCAAAAAGGTAACCGGCCTTCTCTTAGCCACAAAGCGAAATTTCAAAGATATAGAAAAAGAGCTATTCGGAAGACTATACGGGGCGTTAGTTCGTTCCCAAATGGAATATGGAATCCAATCGTGGCGTCCAAGGCTGAAAAAACAACAAGATTATAGAAGGGGTTAACGGGAGGGCAACGAAATTGTGAACGGTCTCGAAACTTTGCCTTGTAGCTGCAGACCTGATGAGCTTAACTAATTTTCTCTTGAATATAGGCAGATCTGAGGAGATCTCATAGGGAAGTTCTGGATTTTGAGAAGTCGGGATTGTTACCCGAACCTCGACGAGCTCTTCGCCTTGTCCACAACAAAAAACCTGCGCGGGGACTCTTTTAACCGAATGCAAGCGAAATTTCGAGTTCCAGGTGTATGCATAAGTGAAGAAGAAGAGTCGAGCACCGGAAAACTTCGGTTATTGTCCTGAGCTTTCAGACTCGTACAGGAGTCCTTCGTCAGATGTAGTGGCAGAAATAGAACAAGCGACAGTTATAAGGCATGTAGGCCCAATCATCGACAGACGGCGCAAGACTGGAGGTGATTACGCAGGACTCTGTACGCCGGCGCCAACCGAGGCCCAGGCCGCAATCAATTCTCGGCCTGTTTTGTTCCCAGCGTAGGCGGCTATTTTGGTGGCTGCGAAGTTAAACACGTGACCCTCAGCAAAGCGCTCGGTCGCCTCTGAAACACCCTTGATGTATGGCAGAGAATGTCCTATCGTCGGTGGCGTTGGTGTTTGAGATCTCTGGTTGCGACCGCGTAGGCAGCGACGTATGAATGCCCTCGGATAGCCATTTTGCACAAAATGATCGCGGAGATAACGGGCCTCACGAGCATTGCTTCGGTTTGCTGCAATAAATTAAGATCCTCTGACGATGGACTCATGTACGAGTCTGAAAGCTCAGGACAATAAACGAAGTGTTCCGGTGCTCGACTCTTCTTCGTCTTCTTTACTCATTTAAACTTCGAGGAGCCCGAGCATACGTGAATGTTCTCAGGCACACGTGGATGACAGGGATGTGCTTGGTGTTGATGTGCGCGACAGCCGACAGAGCGGTCGCAGTTGGGGCAGTGGAGGAAGAGGAGGAGGAGGAGGAGAATGAGGAGGATGGAAGTGATGATTCAAAAGAACAGTCAGAGTCAGTTGGCGAAGGAGAAAACGAGGAAGAGGCGGGCGGAGGGACGACGGTTGGTGCGATCCGAGAGGCGCAGTTGACCCGAAGGTGTCCAATATGTCCAATTCGTGCCCGGAATGCCAGTTGACACCGAGGACACGTTGGAAGCGGTTGTGCGGCGGCGTTGCGTACTGGGCGCAGCTGGGAATCGCGGGCTTTGCGCTTGACTTTTGCGGTGGCGATGCAGTTGGCTTCGTAGATCGCAGCGCCTGGCTTCACTGTTCTCCTCCTCCAGGTCGCTTGGTGGAGGGCGAGGTCTTCCCACTTGGACGGGTTAATTTGCAAACTCTCTAGGGAGGACTTCAGAGTATCCATTTGGTGGCGAATTTGACCTCCTTGGAGGCGGGAACCCGTGGCGAAGTCTCTGAGGAAGAGTCGTTTGGGAAGCCGCTCGTCGTCCATGCGCACGAGGTGGCCGCTCCAGCGCAGCTGCATTTGTCTCAGCATGGTGTAGATGCTGAGGATTCCCGTCCGTTCCAGCACATCAGTGTCGGAGACTCGATCCTGCCAGTTCAGCCTCAGGATACGATAAAGAAAAGTGAGGTGGAAGTGGTTGAATCGGCGTGCCTGCTTTGCGTACACTGTCCAAGTCTCCGCTCCGTAAAGCAGCGTCCGCAGGATGACGGCCTTGTACGTGTTCAGCTTCGTGTTCAGTTGGAGACCGTGACGATTCCAGACTGTGCTTTGGAAGCGGCCGAAGGCCTGACTGACTTTCGAGATCCTGCGAGCGACTTCGTCATCGATCTTGGTGTTAAGGGAGAGGGTGCTGCCCAGATACGGTAAGTTCTCCACCACTTACAGTTGGGATTTGCGGCGCGTTGGGAGGAGTGGCTGTGTTGGATGACGGTTGATGCGTGACCAATGTCTTCTGCGTATTGATGAACAGACCGAAGTCCTCGCAGGCGGCAGAGAACAGGTCCATGCTCCGTTGCATCTCCTCTTCCGAGGTGGTGTTCAGGGCGCAGTCGTCGGCGAAGAGAAGTTCGTGAACGTTGGTTGTGGAGACGCGCGATTGGAAGTGCATCCGCCGTTTATTCACGAGGTGACCGTCCGTACTGTAGGCGATGCGGATCCCGGGACGTTCATCACGGTAGGCGTTCATTAGCATGGCAGTGAACATAAGACTGAAGAGGGTTGGTGCCAGGACGCATCCATGCTTCACTCCGTTAGTCACTGCGAATTCCTCCGAGGCAGCTCTGTTGTCCTTGACGCGCGACATCATGCCATCGTGGAGTTGACACAGCATCAGAATTAATCGCTCGGGACAGCCGAATTTCTCAGGTTAGCAAAAGTAAGAGATCCGGGTCGGTAATCTGAGGAGAATGAATTGCTCACCGGATCGGGGGACTTTTCAGGCTGACGTTTCGAAGAGCTGGGGCTGCTCTCCATTGTCAAAGCGTCAAGTGAAGAAATCG